CTCCCCCTGTCCTGGTAAGTGATCAGCTGGTCCAGAGAAACACAGGCTCCAATGATAGCTATTGAGGTGAAATGCAATTTGATGCTTGTAGTGTTTGGTATTTTACTCACCTTACAGGTCTAGGGCCAGTGATTTGATCATCTATGCAGAGGACAGCGGGTATGCAGTGTGGCATCTATGAAGGATCTCCTGAAGGTGGTAGCCATTGTTAATTCCCTATTATCCTTTTTTGAAGTCCTGTATCATTTTCATTGTTTTGTTGGGTTGGGTTTTATTCTCTTTTGTTTTGTTTGATTCTGTTATATCTGATGGCATGGGCAGCTATTTCAAAGATAGTAAGACATATTATGGTAGCCATTTTGGATTTACTCATGTCATTTTGAAGTCCTGTATTGCATTCATTGTTTTGTTTTTATTCATTCTATTCTATTTTGTTTTGTTTGATTTTTACTATGTCTGATGGTATCTGCAGCTATTTTGAAGACAAGTGGCGTTATGGTAACCATTGTTGATTTTGTATTGTTTTGAAGTCCTGTGTCGTTACACTGGTTTGTTTTGATTGGTTTTAATGTTTTACTTTCCTTGGTTTCACCCTCTTTAAAATAAAAAAAGAATCCCAACAAAGAAAGGAAGGAAACAAGAAAGAAAGGAGGGAGGCAAGCCTCAATGATCTGCAGAACAAATTCAAGCAGCCTAATATATGAGTAATTGCAGTCAATGAAGGAAGGAGGAGAGAGGGAAAGCTTCAGAAAACACTGTGAAGAAATAAATACCAGCCAATTTTTTTCAAATTTAAGGACCACCAGAAATTTACAGATTGAAGAAGTTCAACAAATGCCAGACATGAAAAACAAGAGGGAAACTATACCATAGCATATCATAACCAAATTACTGTACTCAAACCAGTGCTAAAGAGAAACACAGAGCAGTGGGAGGGGGCATGTACATAGTAACAAAGATGGAGGACATGAAACTTCTCACTGGAAGTAATGCAAGAAAGAAGGCCGGGCCACCATTTGTAAAATACTGCAAACAATAAAAACTGTTGGCCTACAGTTCCATATACATGAAAATTATCTTTCAAAAAGTAAGGTGAAATAGACTTCATACACAATAAAACTGTAAGAACTGATTACCTACAGACCTGAAGTACAAGAAATATTGGAGGATAACCTTGAGGCCAAAAGAAAATGATACCAGATGCCAACAATGCCGGTACAGGGCCTGTAATCCCAGCACTCAGGAGGCTGAAGCAGGATCACTGTGAGTTCCAGGCCAGCCTGGACTACATTGATGGTTACCTGGACTACATGATGAGACCCTGTCTCAAAAAACAAAAAACAAAAAATATTCATGGAAATCAAGATCTAACCAAAGGAATTAAGAACATTGTATATGGCAACTACATGAGTAAAAGATGTCTTTTATTATTATTATATTTAAATCTTTTTAAAAGTTAGTTGAGCCCAGTAAATTAATTAAGTTAGGAGTGATGACAAATGCCTATAAATCCCCAGATCCTGGAAAGCTGAGGCAGGAGGATTGCAAGTTCAAGCCCAAATTGGGCAACTTGGCAACTTAACAAGAACTTGTCTCAAAATAAATTAAAAAAAAAAATTAAAAACCTTAGTGCAAAGACCCTGAGTTCAACCCTAGTACCTAGTGCCACAAAAAGAAAGTCAATCGACGTTTAAATTAAATATTTATATATATATGGGTTTATATCACATAAAAGTAAAATACATGATAACAGTAGCATACAGGCTGAGGATGGGGAAATGGAAACACTATTGTGAATTTCTTAAACTATGTGTGAAGTAGGTTACATGGCTCAAAGGTGTGGTTTGGTAAGGTAAACATGAACAGTAGCTCCTCCCCCATCTGTAGTTTCTCCTTTCAGAATTATTCAGTCAACCACGGTCTGAAAATACTGAATGGAAAATTCCAGGAATAAGCAATTCATAAGTTTTTGAGACTATATTTCACAACAACTCCCAAATTTTAAGTTGTGCGCTATTCGGAGCAAACTTGTGCTACCCTACCTTCCCTCCTAGGACATGAATCAGCCTCTGTTCCATGTGTCCACACTGTATGCCACCTTCCACTAGTCACTAGTAGCCTTCTCAGTTATCTGACCCACTGCTGGAGTGTTTGTGTTCAAACACTACTTACTTTACTTAATATAGAAATTGTTTTATTTTATTATTGTTGTTAATCCCATACTATGACTAATTTATAAATTAAACTTTTATGTATAAATGTATAAAAAACATATATATATACACACATATATATGGTCTGGTACTGTCTGTGCTTTGGGATTTATTTCCGCCGCCATGGATAAGGGGGGACAACTATACACTGTATACTATAAACCTTAAAGGAATTAGGAAATAAAACCAAGAGTTAAAGCTAATAAGCCAATAAAGGAGAAAAATGGAATCACAAAAATGTTTGATTACTCAAAAAAGCAGAAAAAAAGGAAGGACAAATAGAAAACAAGGAGATGATGCAAATGTATCAATAACCACATTAAATGTACATGATGGGCCAAGGATTTAGCTCAGTGCAAGGTTGTGAATTTGATCCTCAGTACCAGAAAAAAGTAAATGACTTAAGCATCTCAATTGAAACAGATGCTGTAAAAGTATGTAAAAAGACACCATGCTACCTACAAGAAACACTCTTCAAACAGAATACACAAAGAAATAGCTAACATGAGAAAAACGAGCAGAATTGTCTAAATCAGCTGCATCAGAGTTGTGGAAAACAGTCAAAGGTTTCCAGCAACCAAGTGGATGTGTAATCAAGAAAAAGCTACCTAAGGAGCTGCAGTACATACCGCTAGAAGAGGGCTTTCTTAGCACAGGGACCTGGGTTCCATCCCCATCACTACAGGAAGAAAAGCCATTTTCAAGAAGGTGAGAGTGATTTGAGGGGTTTTTCACATAACCTCCTCCCTTGTACTGTGTGAGTCACGGTGGGTCTTGAAGCGTCAGCCCAGGTCCCTCAAATCAGAGGGGGCAGACATTACTCACAAATTACTGTACGTGTGCTTTGTCCACTTGGTCTTTTTTCTTGCCTTCTTTGGATTATTCATCATTCTAGCCTGTTTGCCATGTTTGAAATTTGTACTTGTTCTGTTCTTTAGATGAATACCCTAAATTTATCAAAATTAGCCTAATGAACTTTTTCAAGATGTATGCCTTAAAACATTTTAACCTATATTCCAATTCACACAAATTACCTCTCTAGCTGTTCAGTATGTTATAAAACTCATGCAAGGACTTTTCAATTTTGTTTTAGGTCTATCATTTCTACTGGGCTCTTTTTCAAATTGTTTTATTGTTTCATTTTGTTTTGGTTTTGGCAGTACAGGGGGATTGAACTCAGGGCTTTTGTACTGAGCTAGCTACCTCTCCAGCCTGTCTGGTTAGAGGTTATTTCAAATAGATTCACTTTTAGGTGGGCTCTGTCAGGAACTGATTATCTATCTGTGTGTAATGAAGTATTCCTGTCCATACAGCCCATTCTGGGCCAGTTTGTCTTTTTTTTTGTTTTGCTTTTTGTCTTTTTCGTTTTTATCGGTACCAGGGATCGAACTCACGACTACCTGCTTGCAAGGCAGGTGCTTATGCCGCTGAGCTAAATCCCCAGCCCCTAGTTTGTCTTTTTTTCAGTGCTAGGGTCTTGCACATGCTAGGTAAGCACTATTTTATTATTTTTGTTATTGTTTTGCAGTACAAGAGATGGGACTCAGGGATGTTTTACCACTTAGCAACATTTCAGCCCTTTTTTTTTTTTTTACAAAGTCTCACTAAATAGAGTTCAAACTTAGGTGATCCTCCTGTCTCAGCCTTAGTTGTGGTCAGAGTTCCATTCATGGGTGATGATAGTGATTAGATCATGTGATCTTCTTAAAGATTCAATGACAGCCACTGAGCCCTTGGATCCTGCTTCTGTTCTTGTCTTCACCTAAATCAGCTGTAGCCGGGTTCCTCAGTGACTGCCTTGATTCCAGCCTGTGTCAATGCACTGTGTGGCAACCTTGTGAGGGGCAAAGCTGGGGCTGAGTGAAGCGACCCCTCCCCATAGGTCGTTCCAGAGTGACGGAAAAGCCAGCAAGCAGACAAGAAATGTGTGGGAATGGCCCCTCAGCAGCCACTGAGCAGCACTCCCTCCTCCCAGATGCCACACAAACGTCCTCTCTCCGCCACCCTACGGGTGTTCCCACAGGAGCTGAGGTTCTCGGTGCTAACAGTTCCCCTCTGGCAGGGGTCTGGGGGAGAGGTTGAGTGGTTGCATGGTGATGGGCTTTGTGTGCTCAGTGCCATACTCCGAAGCATTCCCACCCCCCTTCTTTTCTGATGAGCGGAGAGGAGGCCAACCTGGCACGAGGACAGGGTCTTGGGGGCAAAGGGTCCATACAGGGGCAATAAAGGCACAGACATGTTTGTCTTGTCAGGCTGGCCAATCTGGCCTGGCATGTGTACAATCTCCACAGAGATTCTCAAGGGACACCATTAGGGGTCTAAGGTCTGGAAGCGTCTTTACCTGTGAAATGCCATGTCTGTCCAGATATGCCCTTAGCATGGAAGCTATGGGACACACGGAAAGACCTGCAGCCACACACCCACCAGGGACCAACTCTAGTGTGACTGAGGGGATATATAGTACCAACCTGACAAAACCTGAGTCATTTCTGCCCCTTTGTACCTCAGTTTCCCCCATCGGAAACTGGAAATGACAACTCGCACAGGAAACTGGCTCAGTATTTATAAAAGGCTTCAGAAAACCTGGGCATACAATCAGTGCCAGAACCACACCTGGCATGCAGACAGTGCCACTTGGAGAGCAATGCTCAACACACAGCTGGTGTTCCATAAGCACTCAGAGCAGCAGCACCACATACCACCCCTGGCAGTCACTAAGCACAAATGACCCGCGCCTCAAACTGGTGTTCAGCAAGCACATGGGGAAAAAAAAGCATGCTGCAGCACGAGGATGAAACCCGCACTTTATATATATAACACGCATGGCAGCAGAAAATACAAGGTCTCAGTAAGAAAATACACTCTGTTTGGTGAACCCCTATCGCCAGCCACTAAGGACACTGTGGAGTGAGGAAAGAGGGCAGGGGACACCATAAATAAGACTAGGAAGGAAGGTCACTGCTCTATGGGGCACAGGGCTCTTTTTCCTGGGAAAGAGCAATGCAGTGACACAGGAGAATAGCCACAACTAAGCCTGCAACACCTGGTGGGGGGACTGAACTTGGATAAAGGGGCCAGTGGTTACAAGAAGCAGAGCGGCAGAGAGGGCTTCCTTTCTTCCTGTGGCAGATTCCAGGATCCTTCAGTTAATATCCATGAATTCAGTGTTGGGTATGGAGCCACAGGCAGGGGAGGGCAGGTCACTGGATGACCTGGGCTGGGACTGGCGGTGCACAATGTCCTGGCGTTGATAGAAGAGGACATAGGCTGCCTTGGACTGCAGAGAGAAGATGAGTCAGGGTAGAAGGAGGGGGAGTCAGGAAGGAGAAGGGGAGAAGGGTGGGCAGAAGTCACACCTCAATCTGATTCTCATTCACAGGTGACACGCTGTTGTCATCAAAGTAGTGCCACTGGCCACTGTCCTTGTTGCAGGCAAATGTTGTATCTGAAAAGGAGGGGGAGCCATCCTTACCCATACCCCTCTCTCCAGATCCACTCCCATGCTCCCCCATAACTTTGTCCTAGGGCCACATACCTTGTCACCCACTGGAGACATCCTGACCCCCCCCCATGCAGAACCCAACCTGGGAATGTCCCTGCCCATAGCCTAGCACGTACAGTGGCCATCACGAATGCCCCCATAGTGGTTGGAGACCGCGATGAGGTCATATTTGTACAACTCTGGAGCTGACTCATTTTGTGGTTTGATGACAAACTCAGAGAAGTCCAGGTCCCTGTGGGTAGGGAGACCATTAGTACTGGTGTACCCCACCTATCTCTTCCCAACCTTCCTACAGCCATTTCCCCCCAGCCCCCGACCGGATGGGGAAGTGTACGAGGGTGTCCAGCTTCTCATGGGAAAACTTGGAAAAGGAGAAGCGCTTTAAGTGGATGATGAGAATCTCAGGCAGCATCCACAGGTCTAGCTTCTTGGTGGCCAGCTGGTGCTGCTTGCAGGAGGAACAGTACCTACAGATGGAGCTCAAGTCAGGTAAGAGGCAACATTCACGTACCCACTGTAGACCCCATCACTGTCAGCCCTCTTGTGTCCCATCAGGCCCACAAAGATGCTCTTTTACTTTCTTTTTCAATATGGACTTGCTATGTAGTGCAGGTTGGCCCTGAACTCATGATCCTTCTGCCTCAGCTTCCCAAGTGCTGCGATTACAGGCAGGTGTCACCACACCCTGCTGTTTTCATCTTTTAATGATATGGACATGTAAGTCTGCCTGGTACTCCTGTCTGTTCTCTTCTTATTAAGATTCTTTCATTCACTTGTTGGGTACTTTTGCTAGCCAATGGCTCTGAAGGGGGCATGTGCAGTGTGATAGTGGCTGGAGTGGCAGGGATGTGAACCCAGGGCAGAATGAAAGCAGGTACACTCAGAGAGGTAATGGGTAAGGGCAAGTAGTGCCATCCAACAAAACCCATCCTGGCCATGTTCTAGGCCCTTACCAAGGATTTTCCTTCTCCAGGGTCTCCACAGTAGTGAAGAGCTCGATGCACTCCTGAAGCTGTACTGGAGCCTTCTTCAACACATAACCCACACATTCATGTTTCACATAGCCCTGCAGGGGTGCCAACCGCATAGCCCATGTCAGAAGGGTTGGAGGGGTCGGGGGTGGGGTGGAAGCCACATGCGAAGAGGGTCAGACTTTGAAGTTGGGAACCTGAGGCCTCAGAGGTCTCAGTGGGTGTCCAGGTACTATGGCAGGTTGTGGGCCTGGATTCTTGGCTCTGTGCCCAGGTGAAGGAGGTAAGGGCACATGAAGGGGAGGAGTGCAAGCTACAAGTGTCCCCAGCCCTGGGGTCCCTCTTACCTCTGCCTCTGCCTCATCATAGTAACGTCTCTTCATCTCCGGTTCCCAGTCCATGGCAATGTATGGCTGGGCTGGGGGCCAAGGGGAAGTGGTCATGGCTCCTGCTGCTGGGAAATGCCACCTCCCGCCGTCCCAACCTTGGCTCACTGCCAGAGGACATACTGTCCACTTCTTCAGGAGAGGTTATGCGGTCGCTGATCCCACTGGAATTCACAGTCTGCAGGGTAAATAGTTGCTTGCGACGTCGCTTTGGGGGCCAGTGAGATGTGTGAAAGCCGTTGTCCAAGAGAAAGGAGCATGTCCTAGTGGCCCCAGAGCTGGGTCCAGCCTGCTCCAGCTCAGAGTCTCGGAGGTTGCCCCTAGTGGAGGGACCTGGTGTTTGGTCTTTCTCATCCTCATCACTGCTGTCATCTTCTCCTAGGACAGGAATGATTATCAGGGACAGGAAGGTGTGAACCCCAGAGGACTGAGGTGTCATTTGCATCCAGGAAACCCTGTGTAGATCACACCTATCCCTGACCCCCTACCCACTCACCCTCAGCCCCTCAACCCCACTCAGGCCATGGGACACATGTGCAGACCTTTGTCCTTGTTGTCCCTCTCTCCCTCCTCTCCCTCACCTTTCTCTTCCCCATCGTCCTCCTCATCTGAGGTGGGTTTGGTCACGTAGCGTCTGCGACAGAGCAGAGGAAACTCCCAAGGCAGGGCACAAGGACAGTGGAGGCAGAGCCCAGGATTGGACTTCGATGAGGATTGGGGGAAATCCATTGGTGAACCCACACAAAACTAGTTCCTAATCATGGGTGTGGAAGGGGCAAGATGATGATATAAATGCACAGAGAGGCTGAAGAGGCCAGCAGTGGCCTGAGAATGTGGGTGCGCATGCACCTGCCAAATGTATGGGTGTTAAGCCTAATAAGCCACTGGTGAACACACAGCCAGCTGTGAAGTCCCCTCAGAGAAGCTTCTGAAGGGCTGACTCTTGAGTATTAAATGAAGGAAAGATTTATCTAGGTAACACATTGCTGTCTGTCTGTCATGGTAAGGACTGTGGATTTTAGGTACAATGAAAATCTACCAGTAAAAACACAATCAAGTACAAGGCAATTATTTTGCCTGGTTCACCTCTGAATCCCCAGCATCCAAAGAGAGGCAGTAGCAAAGCCAGAGGTCTAGAGAAAGTCCTTCTACAGCCACGCTAAGTGTGACCTATCTTTCGGATGCTGGATGGAAGGTGTCAAGTAAGCAGCTCAACACTCAGGTCTGAGTTCAGACCCTACCCCCACCCTGGGAAGAGGACACTTACGAAAGCCGGTACATCAGTATGTTATAGAGGCCCTCCCAGGAGAGCCGGTCCTGGGGTACTGACACCAGAAGCGGGTGTCCAAAAAGTATCAGACCATAGTAGGAGTTGTTGTAGTCTTGGGCTGGAGTCCGTTCCCGAAGGTAGACAGGGACCACAATGTCATCTTTTGAGCCTTCGATGGGCTCAATCCGACCTGAGACTTCATATCTGTATGAAGGGGGCAGACATCATGTCATGACCGATCAGGGCATCCCCAAAAGATGCCCTGATTCTGCCTGGGTCACTTTTTAAAGGGTCTAAAAATCACCAAACGTTTTGTTCTTTAAAATTCTTAGATGATTTGTACAGCACTTTAGGAGCTGTTTTAGAAAGTACTTTGGTAGTATCAAGAGTGCTATCAAGAGTACTAGGGGAGGTTGATAAAATTTTTCAGTGACAAAGGTATTTAAAAATCAGTTTGTTTTTGGAAAACTACTTGGATTACTAAGAATGTTTCTACTCACAAAGTGCTTTATATTTAGTTTTTAGTTGCTCAAAGATTTACAAATTTTTCTAGGACTTTAGAGCACTTGCCTAGTATGCACAAGGCTCTTTGTTTCACACCTATTACCAAAAATATAAGTGGGGGTGGGGAAGCAAGGGAACAATGTTTCCGAGGAACTACTATTCTCCTTGGTCTCCTCACTCACACAAAGATATCATCACGATCCAAGATGCCACTCAAAGGATCTTCTAGTTGGTACAGCTTATAGAAGCGGTGACTGAAGACGTCGGTCACTATCATCTGGGAATGGAATCAGTGGGTTTGTCAGTCGGCAAGGTCTCCCCACATCCTCCTGCCTCCTTGTCCCAGAATCTCCCTAGCCTGGCCTCCCTCTGCATAATCTCACCTTGTCTGCCGCAATACCAGTGTGTTTGGACAGAGCCATACACAAATCTGAAATGTTGCCTTTCTTGGGGACCACGACCCGGTGCTGAGGGAGAAAACATCAACAAAAGATCAAAAAGGCTTGTGGTGAGTTAATGCAGGAGACCCTGAGGTGTAGCAAAGTAACTACATATGTATCCCTCAGTCTGTCCCTGTCTTCTACTACCTGCTCTGGTTTGCGGCGGGGATCCATGGGGACGAAGAAGACCTCTAAGACCCTTTTGTGGCAGACAGGCAGTGGGACGCTGAGGTAGCAGAAGGGGTCGAAGGTCACAGACACATTGCCACAATCGGGGCACACCAGCGTGGATTTGAAGAGGCCATGGAAAGTGTCCACAATCACAGAATCGTTGCGGCGTTTGTGGTTCTGCCAGGCCTCCTGGGCCACCTCCTGTTGACAGTGTCATGGTGGATTGTACAGCTTGCCCAGGACAGGGAAACCATGGATGGGAGATGGCTTCATCCAGGGTAAGGGTAAAGACACTGTAGAGTCCAGTGGCTGAGTTCCAGCTAGGGCTCTTTGGAAACCATTTCTACCTTCAAGACTGGGATTTATGGGGGCAGAAGTCTGGCTGAGTGTGGAGACAGATGTGCTGTTAGGACTGAGGCTGGAGGTGAGGTCAAGGTTAGGAAACTTAGCAGAAATCAGTGGGATGTGAGAGCCCAACAGGGCCAGAGGATGTCTGCTGTAGCAGCCTCGGTGGCTTTTATGGGACTTTCGAGATAAGGGACTATCAGGAGCAGCCCACCTGATCTGGTCGCCCAGCAGCATCACACAGCTCCACATATTCCTTCTTCTTCACCCTATTGAGGTCCTCATGAAGCCCATCCAGGAGGAATGACAGCAATTCCTGAGAGTCATGCTGCTGGTAGCCCAGAAACTGAGACGCAAAACGGCCGACCTTGTTCTGAGAAGATGGGTAAGGCCATCTAGGTGAGAGGGGGCTAAGAGAGGCAAACAGCTGGGGCTGGGGGCACCCAGGGAGTCACGTCACACCTTGAACACATTGGGTACAATGGAGCGGTGGCAGCCAGACCACGTCTGCTTCACCAGGTCTGCATAGGCCTCGGCCAGCTCACCCCGCATGCCTAGTGGGTTGCGGAAGTTGAGCTCCTCCAGGTAGCGGTTGTCAAGGAAATACTCAGTGAGCTGCGGCACATTGCTGAGGCACTGTGGTCATACAGCCAGGGAACAAGACAGATGCAAGGACAGAGAAAAGGAGCAGAATGGAAGAGGGAACACAAAGGGGGCAGGAGAATTGGGAAGACATGTTAGTACTTCCAGAAAAGGAAGAAATTGGCAGCATGGGAAGTAAAGGAAAGCAGGGAACAAACAGAGGCAAAAAGTATTGATACTTCAGAAGTGACCATGGGCATGTCAATTCAGACTTGTGGGACCTGAGCTTCCAACCTGATCTCTTGCCTGCAGTCTCCCTGCCCTTCCAACTGTCCCTAACCCCACCTCTTAAAGCCCACCCCTGTGGCTGTGCCAGACACAGCTATAATGGCCCAACCTGCAGGGCGGAGTTCATGAAGCATGTGTTGCCCAGATTGGTGAGGCCACAGATGCCTGGTTGGCCCTGGAAGTCCTCATCCTCTTCTGACATTCTGCTCCTGGGGTTGGATGAGAAACTCATCAGCTGAAGGGCTGTGCCATGTGGACATGTGGTATTTCTGGGCTCTGTCAGTCTGCCTACTGTGGGATGCCACCAGTCTGCACCAGATACCCCAATGGCTCACACGACACGCAGCTGTGTGCTGGGCCAACTGCCATCTTTGTTTCGGATTTCCATGATGATCAGCTGGGTTGGAGGAGGAGAAGAAGGCAAAGCATTAATGGAGGGCCTTATGGGCACCCAGCCCTCACCTCCTTCAACCTGAGCACCACCAGGTGAGTCCATCTGCCAGGCTACCAGCACAGAAAAGCCCTCCTCCTCTTACCTGCCCACTCTCAAGAGCAGCATCAAGCAGTGTGACATGTGTGTTGAACAAACGATCCAAATAGCCTTCTGACTTCTTGACCCAAAGGCGTGTGTCCTCCTGGGCATCCACCAGAAATTGCTCCCGTGCTGTGCGCAAGACTTGATCTGTTGTGAGTGACAGAACACATTCATGATCCTCTGGGACCCAGGATGATCAACTCATTTTGACAACCTTGACTCCAACACTTGATCACTATCCATAGATCTCCAATACTTGGTCAATATCCCTTATTCCCATCCAGTCTCCAAAAGGCTGACCCACACTGAAGAGGTGAGACTCCACCAACATTGTCCACCAGACACCCTGCACAGTGCTTCTGCCAGCCTTCCCTCTTGGACCTCTACAGCCTGGCGGTGCCTTCTCAGTCAGTCACTGACCAATCCCAGACATCCTCAGGTTGCTGAGCTACAACTCATGGCTGGGACTACGGACTCATTCTGGGATACTCAGACTCACCTACAGAATCAGTGAGGCTGAACTGAGCAGTGAGCACTAAGTCGGTATCACCGTGCTGGACAAGCAGCAGTTTGACAGGGTATACCTCCACCTTTGGGATGCTGTACAGCTCGATGACCTGCAAGGAGGAGGGCGCAGACACAGTTATATCCCCCTGGAGTTGTGCGGACACCCGAGTCTGGAACCATCCCAGGCTTTTGAGGCCTTCCTCCCACCTGATCTCTCAGGTAATCTCCCCCCACAGCACCCTCCCCTCCCACTATACCTTGCGCTCAATGGGTGGCTGACCAGGCTCTAGGCCATACCAGCTGACCAGGTAATGCCAAGCAGCTGATGGGAGCAACACATAATCCTCACCTTCCATCAGTCCTTCTTTGAGGCACCAGTTTATCTGATCTGTGGGGCAGTGAGGAAGAGAGGACACAAAGCAAATCAAGGAAGCAAACTGTGATTAAGTTTGGTCATCCTACCAATGACTGAGCACAAACAATGGGCTTATGATCATCTGAAGGGCCAGAGGGGACAGGAATGCCAGGGCTAGGTTGATGGGGAAAAGCAGAAGCCTGGTACCTTCAAAGAGCTCAGCATTGTTGATGCAGCCAGGAAAGGTGCTGGCGTCTTGGTCCCCTCCCTGAACGTACACCTCCCACTGTTTATACCAGCGCTGCTCCACAAGGAACCTGGGGCCCAGACAGGCAATAAGGGTGTCACACAGTTATCTGGGGGTAAGCTGCACCACTCCACATGGCTAGCAGACAGACACTAGCAACCTACTGTAATAAGATGAAGAGTTTCAGTAGCATATAAAAGTAAAAAAAAAAAAAAAAAAAACAGGCATGATGGCACATTCTATAATCTTAGTACTCAAGAGGCTGAAGTAGGAAAATCAGGAGTATGAGCTCAGCCTGGGCTACACAGCAAGTTCAAGGCCAGTCTGTACTACATAGTTGAGTCTCTGTCTCAAAAAAAATCTGGTGTGATGGCACACACCTGTAATCCTAACACTCTTGGAGGATGCACGTTTGAGCCCAGCCTGGGCAACTTAATGACTTAGCAAGACCCTGTCCCAAAAGAAAATTAAAAAGGGCTGAAGACGTAACTCAGTGGCTGGGTTGAATACCCAGTATTGAAAAATAAATAGCAAAATTTATTCAGTGAAACTCAGATTTGGACATTAGATTATCCATCTAAGAATAATGAAAGGGATGTGATTAAAGACAAAAAGATGTGCTCTGTATTGGTAAATAAAAACCCACATCCAGGGGATGGGAAAAGAGGTTTTATTACAGAATAAAAGTTAATGCATTTATATTAGTCAGTGGGATACAGGTAATTTAGGCTCAAAATATGAGCCATTTATAGCTAATGTTATAAGACTTTAGACCAGTGGTGGTGAATCTATAGTACACAAGCCACAGTGGGCTGTATCACTGATAGCTCTAAAAGGTTCACGATCACTGCTTTGTACATTTTCTTGAGCACGCATCTTTTTTTGAGACAAGGTCTCACTATGTAGTTCAGACTGGTCTTGAACTCACTATGTAGCCCATGCTGGCCTCAGCAATCCTCTTGTCTCAGCTTCTAGTGTTGTGTTACAAGTGTGCACCAGCACACCCTGAGCATACATCATTTTTTAAATGGTTAGATCAATGGAGGCAAAAATTCTTCAGCTAAAAAATGGATTTGACAAATTTTAAAACTCTTCTAAAAAATTAACATTTAAAATGAAAAAAAGAGTTTAGCCAAGTGTGGTAGCACACCTATAATCCCAGCTAATCAGAAGGCTGAGACAAAAGGATTGCAAATTCAAGGTCAGTCTGGGCAACTTACTTAACAAAACAAGATCCCTCAGAGTTAGAGTACTTATGGGTTTGATACCTAGTACAGCAAAAACAAACAAACAAAAACCCCTGCATATTGCCAATTTTCATCATTTTTGCATTTAGACTTTGGTCCTTTCTTTACTAGAGGCAAAATGACTTGTTTTGGGACTGGGGATTTAGCTCAGTGGCATAAGCCCCTGCCTTGTAAGCAGGCGGTCATGAGTTCCATCCCCGGTACTGATAAAAAAATGACTTGTTTTATTGAATAATACACATTTATAGCCAAAAAACCCCAGCAATTGTCCAACTTTTTTTTAATTTTAATTTTAATTTTTATCGGTACCAGGGATCAAATTCACAACAGTGTGCTTGCAAGGCAGGCGCTTATGCCACTGAGCTAAATCCCCAGCCCCTACTTTTTAAAATTAAAATGTAGTACTTGTCCATCTTTATGGGCTACATTGTAACAACCTGATATATACAATATACAATGATTATTTTTGTTTTATAGTAAATTTCTGAGCTTATGACCAATTGCTTCTTTTTGAAATTATGATTTTAAAAAATACATAACATTAGAAGCTGAGGGTGGTGGCTCACGCCTGTAATCCCAGCACTCAGGAGGCTGAGGCAGGAGGTTCGTTGCGAGTTCGAGACCATCCTAGGCTACAAAGTGAGCTCAAGGCCAGCCTGAACTGCACAGCGAGACCCTGTCTCAAAAAGACCAAAAAAAAAAAAAAGTAACTTTTTTTCTACATACAGTTCAACTAGTTCTCTTTAAAAAAGAAATTTATACGCACTCCAAGGACACTTAGGGCTCTATTGAAATCTGCCTTTGTAAAATGTTGAGAAAGTCAGTGATTCTGGGAAATACTCAGTGTAAGTGTTAAATAGACAGTGCTTGTGGCCAGGTGTGGTGAAACATGCCTATAATCCCAGCAGTTGGGAGGCTAAGGATTGCCACAAATTGGAGGCTAGCCTGGGAAACAAAGTGAGGTCAAGGTCAGCCTACACTACACAGAAAGAGCTTGTCTCATAAATAAATAGATAGATAGTATTACTGCTCTAATACCAGAATCTGGACATAAAAGATCATACTCACCAACACACAACTGCCCTACTATCAATTTTCTGTTTGTTTTTTGAGAGAGGGTCTCACTAGAGTTTAGACCAGTCTTGAACTCACTATGTTAACCCAGGCTGGCTTCAAACTTGTGGCAATTCTCCTGCCTTGGCCTCCCAAGTGTTGGGTCTACAGAGAGGTGTCACCATATCTATCTCCTATTATGAATTTTTGACACATAAAAGGTGTTCCAAATATTTCACAGCTTCAATAAACACTTTTTTGAAAAAAATCAAGGGCCAGAGATATAGCCTCAGTGGCATAAGCACCTGCCTGGCAAGTGTGAGCTCATAAGTTTGATCACCAGTACCAAAAAGAAAAGTCTGACAAAATATACATAGCATTGTGTTGGTTGCTTTTTAAGAAATTTAACATAGTTCTTTTTGTGGTGCTGGGCTTTAAGCCCAGGGCCTTAAACATGCTGAGTAGGTTCTCTATCATCAAGCTACACCCCAGCTCACATTTTTTAACATATCAATTTTCCTAGTTCATAAAAGCAGCAAAGAGGCGAGGCAACAGATGGATAGAAAAATCTTGGAATAGTGACAAATCATCTGAGTAGGCAAACATTTCAGTGAGACTTTCATCAGTTGTGTTGGCTTATTTTTTTTGGGGGGGTGCACTGACCCCCCACCATCATTCATCCCCATCTGAAAGGAAACACCTCCTCCTGCCACTTGGTGGCTCATGCCAAAATCACCATCGCAACCCTACCTGGTTCCACACTTCTCCCAACTCCCTCCCTGCTTCCACTGTCAAAGCAGTTAATTTATTCAGTAAATAAGAGTACCTTCAATGCAAAGAGGGACAATGCTTGACTTTTTTCTTTTTTTGGTACTAGGGATTAAACCCAGGGCCTCAGCACTGAGCTACATCCCTAGTCTAATATATATAATTTTATATATATAAATTTTTGAGACATGGTCTAATTTGCCCAGGATAGTTTGTTCAGAAAATAAATGCAATATAACATACACTGTTATATTAAATTTATTATTTATACATTCACATAAGCCTATATACATACATATAAAGGTGTCCCATGGATAAGATACCAAAGGAGTAAACTTAGAATTTTTTGTGAAATAAATTAACTTGTGCCCCAATTAGAAATTCTTTTATCACCAAATTACTGTTAATTCTTGATGCTTCAGGTACATGTTATGGTTTGTGTCTAGAAGTCTCCCCAAAGCCTCATGCAGTCATAGGCAGGGCAGTTTCAGAGGTGGCTGGATCTAGTGTGTGATGCTGCAAAGGTGTGTGATTACTAAATTAGTCCACTGATAGATCTGGCATAGTTCTGAATATGGATAATAGGAAGGCCCATCCGGAGTGTAAGTGCTACCCTCCCTGAGGGCATGTAGCCTGGATAGAATATAAAGGACAGAAAGAAAGTCACTGCTTATGTGGTTAGTTTTGCTGTTTTCTGCCTGCTATGAAATGTTTATACTCTGTGATGCCTCTCTGCCATACCACCCTTCCTTGGTTACAGACTGAAACCTCTACAAACTGTGAGCCAAATAAACCTTTCCTCCTTTAACTTTGGGTGTCAGTATTTTGTCTCAGCAATGAGAAAAGTAACTAAAATAACATAATATATTTAACTTGTTTTTTTTTAAATACTGTGACTCACCTTTGAAGAAATACTTTGGTTTAAAATATTAAGCTTCTAATAACTTTTGTTGTCTATCACTGTGTTTTTCTAAAAAATTGACTGTATATCTGGTCTTAGAATTTAAATCTTGCCAGGCATGGTAGCACAACCTGCCCTCTGGAAGCTGAGGCAGGAGGATCACTGCAAGTTGAAGTCAGCCTGGGTGACATACTGAGTTCAAGGATAGCCTGCACCACATAGTGAGACCAGTTCAAAACATAAAAAACAAAAAGGTCTATCAAGCAGAAAGTCTCAGGGCCAGTCTTCTCAGCAGCACAGTGCCTGTCTGGCAAGCACAAGGTTGTGAGTTCAATTCCCAGAAGAAAAAAGAAGAGGAAAGTTTAAATTGGGCCTGGTGGCACATGCCTGTAAGCCCAACACTGGGAGGCTGAGGTAGGAGAATCAAAAGTTCAACCCAAGCCTAAGCAACTTAGCAATCTGGCAAGAACCTGTTGCAACATGGAAGGGGCTGGAAATATAAGTGCTAAGGCGGTGAGTTCAATTCCCAGCACATGTGAGCACATGCATACACAGATGTATACACATACATACACATACACAGGGAGGAAAGACAAGAGACATGAGGGGAGAGAGGAAACAGGAGAGTGGGAAGGAAAAGAAAAGGGAAGGAGCAAACTGGTTTAGGGCAGGAGTGTAGCTCAGTGGTGCAGTGCTTGCCTAGAAAAACACAAGCCCCTAGTGCACATGTATACACACAAACCCTGTAAGTATCTTCTTCAAAATAGCCCCCATGAAACTTAACTTTCCCTTCCCAAGTCACCATCCATTGCTACAATGCTCTGAACCCAGCCACCCTCCTTCTTTTACCTGAATAAAGAAAACACCAGAACTGTTTGCCTGTTAGAAAGCTTGTTTACTTCTGCTCAGATCTGCCAGTCTTCCTTGGCTATCTCTAATTTGTGTTTCTAGATGTTCATTTTCAAAAACAAAAACTAAACATTCCTAAGGAAGCTATACTACTATAGATTTGAATTTACTCTTAAAATATAAGCTTCTCCTGTAAATTCAATCAGCTCAAATTATCCCATTAACTAATCACCCTTGTTCAGTTCTGCCAAATGACAAACTATAAATGGGCAACTATTAATACAGACATAAGGTGTATAGTGTGAGGTTAGGCTATAGCTTCAAAATGCATAATAAACACATACTGCCTGACCAGTGCTGCAAACCCACATAAAATAGAAGGTGAATTAAAGAACCTCAGAATGCTTCACTCTTAAATAAAAAAGCATAAAAAATAAGAGGTTAGCAAAAATACTTCATGGTAATACCCACCAGAGCAGAGACAAAATGGCTTCAATACTGAACCAACATTGGTGTGGTAATTTTTTTAATGAGGTGAAATTCACATAACAAAATTAAACCATTTTAAAATGAACAGTTCAGTGACATTTAATACATTCACAGTATAATGCAAGCATGACCTCTAACTGATTCTGATTTTTCAAAACCCCAAAAGGAAACCCACTTACTGGTGGGACAATTTTAAAGGGTACTGGCAAGGATTTCACAGATTTTTGTGTCCTATCACCAGTGACACAATCATGACAAGGCTGGAAGGAAAGGGTAAGAATCAAAGCTTGAAGGCCCTTTGGGATATCCTCAAATGGGCTACAAAACATGCTGGATACTGTTATTTAGTTTTACAGTACATGGAGTTTTTTTCCTGCTTGCTGGAGAACTATGATGCAATGATAGAAAAACACTGCTTGGTTTTGCAGTCCCAATTTGGGGACTCTTCCTAGTAACAGGGATACAAATTTCACTGTTACTGTTATTAAAGAAGTCTGTAAAGTGGGTAAACCTCACTGGAAAAGATACTAGTGTTTGATATGTTTAAAGAACAACAGTTCAATAAAATATGGTCAGCCCTAGATGGGGAGTGAAGGAGACCAGAGAGTCCACAAAGTATCAGAAATGGAAGCAGGGGACCAGCCTCAAAAAGCACTGCAGGTCATTTTAAAGATTTTAGACGAACATGATATATGATTCTAAAAGAATTACCACTTATGGAAAGAGGAAAATGGTTCCTACAGTTAAGAAACCTAGCAGACACTACCTTAAGTGATTAAAGTTATCATCACAAAAGATGTTGCATGAATATCACGTAATAACTTAAAGGCTCACCATACGCATCCAGTATAATTTTCATACATAAAATATGACTTCATATAAAGATAAAAGATACTATTTAGGAATGCATACAGGGGTAGTAAAACTCTTAAAGATCATTAAAACAGTTTCTCATAGAACAGGGAGAGAAATTTCCACCTGAAAAGGACACAAAAAGATTTCTGAAGGTAATGTTCTAAATATTAAACTGTGTGTTCACATTTTTATTATTCTTTTTCTCTGAAATAAATGGTAAAAATGGCAAAAATAATACAGACTTCTCCATGTGCCTTTCATCCAGGCTCTCCAAATCTAACACTTTACTCATTTGCTGAACCACTATTTCTTTATATGCATTTTGGGTATTTTATTTTAAAAATGACAAAAACTGTGCATTTATGGTGTACAGCATGATGCTTGACATGTATACATTATGCAAAACAATCAAGCTAATTGACATCCATTACATCACATACTCTCCTTTTTGTGGTGAGTACATTTAAAATCTACTCTTAGCAACTTTAACATACACAATAGATTAACTATGATCACCATATTGTACAATAAGTCTCTTGAATTTGTTTTTTTCTAGAAGAAATCTTTCACACAAAAGTCAACATCTCCCCCGTACATGCATTTTTACATATGCTATTTTTTCAATCATTTAAGAATAAGCTGCTTACACGGTAGTTCCTTGTTCCTAAAATTTTCAGTATGTTTTGTAAAAACAAAGATATTCAAGTTCATAACCACAATACAGTCATCACAATCAAGGAACTAATGGTATCACCTAGTCTACCTGTCTTAGTTGTCACAGATTTTTCCATTTAATTTTACAGTAAAAGAGAAACGAATTATGCGGAGAGGAAACTTTTTGAATCATATAATGTATTCCTCTGATCTAGGATAGAACTGAGGATCACATGTTGCATTTAGTTGTCATGACTTGTTAAACTGCATTAATTCCTTCAATGTGGAACTGTTCTTCAACCTATGTCTTTCACGACTTTCACATTTTTGAAGAGTACAGACCGTTTAATAGGATGTTCGTTAATCTGGGCGCAGGAAACGTTTATACTACAATCTTTGTAGGTCTTCCGTACTTCACAATTTAAAAAACGATGCAATTCAGGAGAAATAAAAATCCAAAAGCAGTGAATTTCAAGAAACACTAATCAGCAAGGAAATGATTAAACAAGCTGATTTATCAAGATGTGGATTGTCTTTTTAAATAAGGATTTTCTCCTGATTATTAGGAAAAGTACTAAAACCGAAAAAAAATTAACATCGAAGGTCTCTCCCATGCTAAGCACTTGCTTTTCTCTCGTCCTAGAAAAATAAATCTCCGCCGGATTTAAAAACCTCGTCTTACTAGCCGGATTTAAAAACCTCGTCTTACTAGCAACTTTACTTATCAAAGGCGCCATTTTCTGCCTCACTCACAGCCCCTACGTCCTTTCCTAGGCCTCAGGCCACGCCTCTTTGCGCCAAACGCCCCTCTTTCCAAGGAACCAAGCTCCCCACCCCCCAAACCTTCGCTCCAGCCCTCGGCCCACAGCCATTGGCTCGGATTCTGCTCTTCAGCGAACGTCACAGGCTTGCCCGCGAGCAATGGCGGGCAGCTCGCCGCTTCTCACTCCGATCCTACATTACGTAACGCTGAGCACACACTCCCCACTACGTTACAGGGCCCGCCTCCTTCACATGCAACGAGCTTTACTTCACAGGCCTCCTTGGCACAGTGCTTTCCTCTCGGGCCCCGCCCCCACCACAGAAGCCGCACTTTATTCTCAGCCTTCAGACCACGCCACACAGATGCCGCCTCTTTTCCAGAGACCTCGATTCATTCACAAGCGCTTCCCCGCAGCTCTCGCCCGCTGTCCCTCGGCCCCAACCCGCCGTAGTTCTTCCTCAGACCTCGGCTTCCAAATCCCCCGCTGTCGCCAACGCCCCCACAGTCCCTTTAGCCAAGGGTTCGCTGCAGCCTAGTCTCCTCACCAGCTTTCGCCGGCCCGCAGTGGACGCTCTCGCCCACTCTCGCCATTCTCGATTTGGTTCCACTGGTCGTCCAGACCAGGCATCTCCTCGCGCTGCGGTTCCCTGTCCTCGGCGGCTGCCGCGATGGCAGCTGTGACAGGGTCTTCTGTGACCTCCGCCATGACCGTCTGTTCTCTACTGCCAGTGTAACTGAAGATAGGAAGACCCTCAATGGCCACTTCCGGATTCTGATCCCGGAAACGGAAGCAGAGCCCCCCAGACAGATAGGGGTCTACTGCCATCTTGGAAAGGGGCCCGACGCTTGGCCGCATCAAAGGGCTAGGTAGAGCTCTAAGGCCGTACGCTTTAATCTCTGGGACCAGCACACGAGGTAAAACCTAATAGTGGGATTCCGACGCCATGTAGAGTTAGGGCAAAAGGTTGCATGGGAGGTGGAGGCCGAGATTCCTGAGTTGGGGAGTCCTAAGGGAACTCACAGAGGCACTTAGTCGTCTTTGCCTTTATGTTCTGCTGAGGACTGCAGATCCCTACTCTGGGCGCCGCATTTTTGCTGGGGCACAGCCTCACCATGCCCTCTTTTTCACTACTCTTCTCATTGGAGGTTTCTTCCTCCAGAGAGCCACCTATGCCTACAAGTCAGTCTTGTTCGTTGGCCTCACAGCAATAACAAGTAGTCTGCTCAGTCTAAGTGCTTGTAAGACTAAAATAGTAGCCCCCAGGCAACAGGTACTATCTTTGTCCCCATGGGCAACAATGTGGGTAGCTGAGCGCCAGAATTAACTCACTTGACCTATCTAGTTCAATGCTGGAGCTGTGGTACAACTCAGGAAACTGCTTGCAGAGCTGTTAAACATCAAGCCAGAGATTCTCAAACTACTCCCAAGCTATCCGCCTAGGAAACCCTCTCAGGGGACTACAAATCAAAACTGTTTTTTCACTCTTGAGTTTAGAGAGGAATTTGACATAAGCAAAAGCGCTTAAGGAGTATCCTTAATATTTATTAAGGGATCACGAAAACAAAAATTTGAGAACCATTGCATTAGGCCCCAGTTTCTTTTGGAGACAGGGTCTTGCTACGTAGTTCAGGCTGGCCTTGTAGCCCAGGCTATTAAGGTGTGTAACACTGTATCTGTTTTGGCCCCAGGGTTTAACCTCAGCACCATTGTCATGTCTTTGTTTTGGGGAGTACCTCAGGCTGTTCAGCTATGTTTGTGGCATTATCATTAGACACTGGTATACCCCTTGGTGCAACCAACAGTACCTGTGTCTCCCTCTAGACACATGTCCCTGGGGTGAGAGACGTCTCTGAGATCCACTGCACTGACCCCTTTTCTCTGATAGAGTTCCCAGCCCTACTGATTGGTGGTAACTTTAGTATTTCTCTGGCTCCTTGCATCTACCTGCATATTGGCTGTCCCACCTAGCCATCCCACAAACTCCCTAGAAACAGGCTCATGATTCAAGGGCTATTTAAGGGGACTTTCTTCACTATTACCACTCAGTCCCCGAGGTCGAGTACAGATTTTGCTTCATATCCCTAGGCCCATGTGTATACAGATCTATCTCTTTGTACAATTGTCAGTCCTGACCCCAACATAACTTAATAATTTATCTCATTTTTCAGTTAAGATCTGTGGAGCAGGGATTGTGTCTTTATTACTATCATTTCTGCCCCAGCCAAGACCTGACACAGAGGAGAGGTTTCACACTTAAATTGTGTAAACTCTGTGGTGGTAGAAAGGGGAGAAGTCCCCAAAGACAGTATCTGGGTTGGGTCTGGCACATGGCCAGCTGCCTTGTCATATTCACCAAATTCACTCCCATTGGCCCCCTGCAGGATGCCTGTCCCCATTTACCTGAGCAACAAGGTAAATCCAATAGGCTTCCCTCTCCAACCCTAATAACCCCACCAAATCTAGGGCACTCAATAAATTCTAATCCTTGAAGTCTGGCCTGGCACTCTTGTCCTCTTTTGCAAGATGCTTTTTACCAAATTCCTTTGCTGCCAAAGGTATTCATCTCATCTGATTCTAGCCAAGGGGATGGCACAGGAAGTCTACTGAGCAGTTTGTGGAAGTTGTAATCCTATTACAATACATTGAGTGCTTCTTTTTACAGCTTGCCTTCCCATCTCTGTAGATGTGGCAGCCATTGTGACACCACGAGGCTGTATGATAAGCACTGGCCACCACCACTGGGCTTCAGTGAATAGCCACTTAATTGGGCTTGCTATTACAGTACTCACAGCATTTGCCTGGCCTTGCCCACCTCACCTCTTCTGCATGTAAGTATATTTTTAGCTTTGCCCAAGATGGTGGAACAGGAACTAGAATTCACAATACTGAGGAAATGAAAGCCACAACTAGTCTCACACCATTTGACCTTTGGCCTGTCAATAAACCATTGCATCCTTCCAAGAGTTGCCTCCTACATGCCCATGGTTTTCATTAGACACTAGTAATCCAAAATTCCAGCTCCATCATGACCCTACTCGTGAACTTAATCCATGTAATTAAGATTACCTAACTGTTCAATATTTATCCTCTTCTCATTCCTTCTCCAATGGGCCTTCTTCAGTTTCCCAGTTGGATACATGGTGGGCATACTGGGCCTTTTATGTCTCTTCTACCCACTCTGGTTCTATTGCCCCCCCCCCCATTGTCCTTCAGTCACCCTTGCATCCACTGTCAGGATTCCTCATACTGCTGGTTAAGTTTAACTTGTTCTGCTTGATTCTCAGCCCACCAACCTATTATAGCCTGCCTTACCAACTTCAACTTGATTTTCTACCATTACGTGTGTAATCCCTTAGAGGCCTTTTTCATTGTTACGCTGTGTCCCTGGCCCATTCCCAGTGTTCTCCCAGACTGGGACAAGATTTGAACTCAAGGTCCTAGCAATCACCCCAGCTTGAGTCCCACCCCCTTACAGGGATTTGCAATCAGGCTTTTCACTTTAGGCTTTTTAATATTTCATACAGCGATTATGGTGCATTCAGGAACCCAACCCCCCAAATCCCACTAGGAGGGCTCCCACCCCAGCCTCCCACCCCATATAAGGGCCCCAGAGCTTAGGGTGGAAGGGGAGGTAACCACCCATCCAGGGACTGACCCTGGAGACTGTCCCAGCCCTGCCTCACCCTCCCAGGGGTTAGGGGGCAACACCTGGGCACAATCCCCCATGTGCCCCTCTGTCCCTGGGTGTGCACATATACACACTATGGCTCCTCACTGAGTTGGTCAGTTCCTGGCAGGGCCCCTACTCAACAGCACCGAGTGGGAAAGGGCAGGAGGGCTGGGCTGGGGAGACCCTGAGAAGGAGGCCCTGGCTACAGGACTGCAGGAAGAAAAAAGTGGGGCCCCCACCTTGTCCATCTCCTAGAGTCCCCAATAGTTCCCAGATCCCCGTGGCTGGGGATAGCAGGTTGGGGGAGGAAGGCAAGTGTTCGAGGCATGCTTTCCCATAGCTGATCCCAGGGTCTTGTATGGTCGGGGTTTCAAATAGGGGCTGTGTATGGCCCTGCCTCTGAAAGGCTGGGAGTAGGGTTTCATTGCACAAAATACTGTGGGAGGGCCACACTCAGGGAAGTGGGGCCCAGCCAGTCTGTATACAGAGATATTGCATTTAAAAGAATGAAAACCTCATTTAAAATAATTAAAAAAAACAATGAATGAAACAAACAAAAAAGGCCCACTCAACAAGGCAGGTGGGACAGGCAGGAAAGCAGGCAGAGGATGCCTAAGACCCAAGGCACCTCTACCTTCTTGTCTGAGTCGAGAGCCCCAGCCTGGGCTAGCTCCAGACCCCTGACTGGCCGCAGGGTAGTGGTCCTGGGAGGGTATGATGAGGAAGGGTAGGCCTGGCCTCAGTGTGGGAGGCTGGCACGGCCATGCTGTCCGCCGGCAACTACCGAGACAGAAACAGACCAAGCAGAGGGGTGATGAGAGAGCTTTGTTAGCACCCAGCAGACAGGCCAATGGGTGAGTTGACAGGCCAATGGTAGGATGTTCAGGCAGATGGCAAGGAACAAGTGGGCAGGTGAGCGTGGCTCAGGCAGGTAGACAGGCAGCAAGCAGGGAGAATGCAGTTGGGACTGCCCTGTGAGGGGAGTGGCATCCCTCCAGCTGCTGCTTGCTGGGCCCTTGGTCTGTGAGGCTTAGAACTTGGCTTAGAACTCGGTGTCCACCACATGGAAAGCTGGCCTGCCTGCAGGGAAAGCAGAGCGGATGGCTGTTGGTAAGCAAGCAGGTTGGTGGGTAAGATGGGGAGGGGGTGGGAGCATACCTACCTGAGTCAGGCATTGATGAGGACCGAAGGCTGGCCTCTTTTTGTAGCTGGATCTCTTTTAGTGCAAATATGGAAGTAGCTGTGGGGGAAGAGACAGATGTGGGAGATGATTTAGGGGCTACCTAGGGCCAGCCCCCAATTGCCTTCATTATGATTATCAGAACAAGTTGTCCCTTCCTTAAGAAGTTTGACTTTCATCTGTCAAATAATTCCACATATAAACCTACAACAATGGAAGATGGGCTATGGACTACTGCATGAAACAAAGAAATTATTATTAACTTGATGTGTCAGGTGTGGTAATGGTACTACAATTACCACCTGTTAGGTCTACAGATAGTGTTTGAGGATTTTATTTAAATATTAATCAAAAATAAAGACTGGTGAGCCATTTCTTTAGGTGTGATAATAGTTATTTTAAAAAATCCTTTATGGATATACATTGAAATTAAGGATGAATATGATGTCTGGGATTGAGTTTGATTCCAAATAATCAGAGGGAAATAAAACCAGTTGGCCACCAGTTGATACATTGTTGAGAGTATATGCAGACTCATTTTTTTGTCTAATATATAAGTATATATAATTTGGAATTGTCCATATTAAAAATTTTTAAAGCCAGAAACAAAAAGAACATCCCATATGATTCCATTTCTATAAAGCACAAGAGCAAGGGAGACTTATGGTGTTAGGAATCACAACAGTAGGACTAAAAAAACAGCAGGATTGGAGGTGCAGCTCAATGCTTTAGTGTGCTTGCCTAGCACACACAAGGCCCTAGGTTGCATCTCCAATACTAGGAAAAAAAATTCAAAACAGTGGTTCCTGTTGGGGAAAAGGCCTAAAATAACCCAAGAAGGTGAGGAGCTCTGCAGGAGCATCTACTTAAGACCTTCATGACAGTTCCATGAGTGTGCTTAGTTTGTGAAAATTCATCATGTTGTACACTTGTGATCTGTGTATTTTATACCATATATATTAAAGGAAGTATCTGTTTTTTAAAAAGGTAAAGTTATATTGCATGTTTTGAGACAGGTTCTCACTATGCAGACCAGGTTGTCTTTGAACTCTCAGTGATCCTCCTGTCTCCGCCTCTCAAGTGCTGGGATTACAGACATGCACCACCATACCTGGTGGCATTTATTTTTTCTTTTTTACTTTTTTTGGTACAGGGGATCAAACTCACGACTGCGCGCTTCTGAGGCAGGCACTTATGCTACTGAGCTAAATTCCCGAGATGGCATTTATTTTTATGTATCATATATTTGAAAATTTTCATGAAAGGAAAAGGAACTGGGGCTGGGGATTTAGCTCAGTGGCATAAGTGCCTGCCTTGCAAGCAGGCAGTCGTGAGTTCGATCCCTGGTACCGATAAAAACGAAAAAGACAAAAAAAAATAAAAAATAAAAAAATAAAGAAAGGAAAAGGAACTGAAAAATAATTTTTACAATAAATGTAATACATCACACATGTCAATAAAATGTTCCTTCTTTAAGAGATAGCATAGCCAGAACCCTATACAACCTGCTCAGCTGTCCCCAGCAGTCTGTGTTTCAGTCCCTTCCTCACCCCAACCATTCCCCTATTCCACTCACTGTCAGGAAGTTTGTGGATCCGTTCCCCCAGGCTGAGAAAGAATGGATGTTTCATGGCATCCTCTGCAGAGATCCGATTTCGGCCCTCAAACTAAGTTGGGAGAAGAAGGTATATGGGTATTTTCAACAAACGGATCTTTTTTTCTGCCTGCCCTCAGAACCTACCCTGGGGATCCCTTTCCCCATCCACCCAGGCTGGTCCAGAAATATATTCTCACCTGCAGCAGCTTGGTAAGGAGGTCAGTCCCGTCGTTATCAAGTCTACCACAAGGACAAGGGGACCTGCTTTACATTGAGTTTGGGTACTCTGACCCCTAAAACCCACTCACCCACCAGCCTCACCGGGGTGCATGGCTCAGAAGGGCCTCGGCTCGATACTTGGGGTAGTTGTATGTTTTGAACTCTTCATTAGACAAGATGCCTGGCCATGTCTCCTCAGTTGGGGTTCCTGGAAGGGAAGAAGAGTTACTCCAAACATCTCAGGTCCTCCCTGCATGTTCTCACAGCTCCTAGGGCACAAGCCTTCTCACCCAAGATGCGAAAGATGAAGTGCAGCTGTTCCTCCACTGTGGAGCCTGGGAAGAGGGGCCGACCTGTGGCCATCTCGTAGAAGATGCAGCCCACACCCCTGGGCAGGGAAGGCAAAGTAAGTAAGGAGGCAACTGACTAGGTGACTGTCATGATAAAGCCATCCCCTTCGCTGCCTGGCCCTGCTACACTTTCACCTCTCCTCACCACATGTCAATTTGGGTAGAGTAGTCCGTGGACCCAAGCAAGATGTCAGGGGGTCGGTACCACAGTGTAACCACCTCATTGGAGTAGGTCTTCGTTGGGATTGACTTGGCCCGGGCCAGGCCTAGGAAATGAAGGAAAAAGGAGACCATGGGCAGTCTGGAGAGGCTGAACAAGCAGCAGCACTGGGGACAGTAAGGATGAGGAATCAACAGGAAAGGGGAGACTGGTGGTACCAAAGTCAGCCAGCTTGAGTTCTCCCCTCTCATTGATGAGCAGGTTCTGGGGCTTGAGGTCTCGGTGTAGCACCTTCTGCCGGTGGCAGTAGGCCAGGCCACGAAGCAGCTGGAACAGGAACAGCTGGGGACCCAGGAATGGCAGGCAGAGGTCAAAGAGTATCCAGCAGTCCAACCCCCAGAAAGCAGGCACTGAGCCCTGAGTTTTGTCACACAAAAAAGGGCCGGCTCCCAATACCCTCCGAGGGCTCCCAGCAAAAAAGCCAAATGTTAAAAGGTTGCTTCTGGGGATCTGTAGGGCAAGGTGGAATGGGTGAATGGGGGCCCCCTTCTGCCCCACACCCACTTTCACATTGTGCATGTTGATGACGTTCCCACAGTCATCCAGGTACTGCTTCAGGTCCTTGTCCTGAGGAGAAAAGAGACAGCACAGGAATGAAAGTCATGTTGTGTGGGTACTGGCCACCTGCCAACCTCCTGCCAGGGCCCACTGCCATCCAACCTTACCAGGTACTCAAAGACAAGGGTGAGGGACTTCTCTGTATGGATGATATCATGTAGTGTGACGATGTTGGCATGTTTGAGGTCCTTGAGCAGGGACACTGCAGGAAACATGGGAATGGATGCAGCAAGAGCCAGGGCCTTACCCTCAGGACAAAGGTGAGGATAAGGATCAAACAGAGATGAGCCCGGGTTTCCTTCTTTCCCCATACTGTTTATGGTAATGCCTCATAGCAAGCATCTCTAACCCACCCTATAGAAAGAAGTGTCTCCATGTTCCAGATGCAGAAAATAAGGCCGAGAGAAGAGTACCATGCAAAAACCCAGAAATGCAGCCAAAGGTTTATGTGACACTATATTTTCACAACTTTTTCTTCGTAAGATGCCTTGCTCCAAACCTCAGTACACAGGCCAGCAGCACAGTGTAAAGGGGAGTTTGCAACACTCACTTCCTATGCAATTCAAATCCATTCCATGTAATACTGTGAGCCTTTGAAGGTGTGTTTTCAGCACCAAAAAGAGCACTGTGGTTTGCAATTTGCTCACCTTCCTTGTTTCAGTCACAGATTCTTGGTTACCCTGATCATTACGTGGATTATAAGTGGGTGATAGGCATTCTCACAAAGTCCAGAGCTTTGGGGGCAGATGCTCCGAAACCACTAGCCTCTCTATCCTCACCATGCAGTGTGTATATGTGAGTCAGAAAAGCCTAAGGCAGATGAAATGAGGTCTGTACCTTCCCGTATGGCCGTGCAGGGTGCCCCCTCTTCATGTTCCAGTCTGATCTCCTTGAGTGCCACAAGGTTGTCTGTGAGCTTGCTTTTGCCTTTGTATACGGTGGCATAGGTACCCTGGGATGTGAGCAAGTGATAGAAGTGGCACTATGAGGCTGCAGAGTTCCCACTGACTCCTACCCTACCAGGGGCCTCCTGTCTCTCACCTCACCCAGCTTGTCCAGCTTGATATATGTCTCCAGTTTCCCAAAGCCAATCTCGGACTGTGGGGTGAAGGAAGCAGGTTAAAGCAGACTCAGGAGAAAGTGGTGGGAGAGGAGGACAGGACAGGATCAGAAGGTGCTCACCAAGCTGACACGGCGGAGGCGGCGGCTAAGGGGCTTATCAAAGATGGGGCTATTGAGGGTCAGCTTCTCAAGATAGCCCTCAGGCAGCCGAATGTCGGCTGGTAGTGATAGGCGCTTGTTGATGTCCTAGTAGGCAAGAAATGGGACCATGAGCTCCATCTCTTCAAACCTAACCCCCTTTTCCAGCTCCTCTATCACCAGGATAGGAGTTAAGCACCTCAGTGGAGATCTTGCGTGGGGGGTGGTTGCGCATGCGCACTCTCACTGGAGACTGCACCTCATCCGAGGATGTAGCTGAAGCCTGGTCACTCTCCCCATCAGACCCCATCTTCAAGTCCTCATGTACAATCTCTGGTAGTGAGGAGAAGAGGAGGGCAGGCCAGGTGGGGGTCAAGAAAACCCCCTCCTCCACAGTGCATTCCCTTAGCACACCCATGTGTGCACATGGCCCCTGGAGAAGCTTGGAGTCCTTCAGGGAGAGGGTGGTGGGGCCCAGGAAAGCCCAGACAGACCTCAGGACAGGTTATACAGAGTGGGAGCAATAGTCACCTGGTGGAGCACCCCATTCCAGGGGTGAGCTGAGATTGTGGCTGGCCCAGGGCCAGAAGGCAGGTGGTGGCAGAGGTAGCCAAGAGCCCTGGGAAGGCAGGCCCAGGGCAGGCAGGCACCAGGAGGCCTGGGAGGGTCACCGTGCAGTGCAGGAGAAGGGTAGAGGGAGCCTTGGGGCAGCTGCAACAGGCAAGGAACCCTTCCTCCCCCTAAGGCCTGGACACAAAGCCAAGGAAAGGGGCACAAATGGACAGACAGAGGATTGAAAAAGAAAATATAGAAGGGGGAAAAATGGAGAAAGGAAAATGAAAACAACAAAATTCTAGTGGAATGTGGCAGGAATGCAGCACCTGGGAACAAAGGTGGAGATAGGGAAAAATCAGCAGACCCACCTGGTGCAGAGCTGAGTGGGCCACGTCCACAGCGAGGTTCACCAGGAGGTATGTGTGTGGGAGCCTCTCCAAGGTCACTGCCACCACCTCCGCCACTTTCATCCAGGCCTATCTGCTCAGGGGCACCATTGGTCTTGTCTAGGCCTCGGCCCCCTCGGAGTGTCATTGACAGCTGCCGTTTGATCTTCTTCATCCGATCCATGGCGACCTGAGCAGAGGCATGGATAAACAGAAGTGGGGCCCATGTTATCTTGAACACTATGGGTCTCCTAAAGCCTCTGACAATCTAGTGGTGAGCACTGACATGAACATGTGTTAAAGCCCATCCAAACAGTACAGACCCCTGAAATACTCAGGATTTCTAGAAACTTGGCAAAGATAGAGACCTTTGTCATTGTCAGCCTACCCATAGCCAGTCCCTTGGGAGTCTACTCCTGAGTAGCCCACCTGGATCCTCAGACTTGTATAGCTGGCTGAGGGTAAAGGCCCACCCAGGGGATTGCTGGTCTCTCTGGTGGTAGCCTCACTGCGGGAGCAGAGAACTCCACAGCACTCATCTTCAGGTGCAGCATCAGTGACTGACCCAGCCACAGGTGGAACAAAGGGCTGCCCAAGAACACTGAGGTCATTGAAAGACCCCTGGCTGAGCCTATAGAATGGCATCTTTTGCTGGTACCAGCCCACCTAACCCCCAACTACCAAGGCAGAATGCTCTCTGAGGCCTCAGGGACCTTCCTGCCTCCCCACAGCAACCATTGTCATGGAGGACCACACCACTGTTCTATCCAGGTAGGGGGAAAGAGGTCCTACCCAGCCCCAACCACTGGATGGAGTTGTGGGGGTGTTTCAGTGCAGAACAGTTGTCCTCAGGGGTGCTGGGAAAGTCTGATCAAGTAGGAAATCACAGGACCCACCCTGTATTTTTATAAGACAAATGACAATTTTCCTCAAACTGAGACTATATGGCCACATCTCCCATATAACTCCAAATCAATGCCCCAGTCCTCAGTGTGGCCTACAGTTCTTATCCTATTTTTCCTGGTTATCACTCTGGCCTCAACTTCCCCCTTGATCATTCCTGGCTGCTCTTCTGCAACCACACCCAGCCTAGTCCCATTTGAGGCCTTCACATTGGATATTCCCAGCACCCGCAACATCCTTTTCCCACCCTCTTCAGACTTTTGCTCAAATGTCACCGTTTTCATAAGGCCTCCATGAATAACTGTAAGATCTGCACCATTCTGAGCTCCTCCACCTTGCCAACAATCACTCAGCGCTCATAACCTCCTCAGAAATGACACCATCTACTTATTAGCTTCTTTGCTCTTTACTGTGTTGCCTCATGGCCAATAGATCAGCTCCACCAGAGTAGATTTCTGTCACAGCTATATCCTAAGGGCCTAGAATAGTGACTGACAGAGTAGATATTTAGAAAGCGCATGTAGCAGAAATAAATGAATCGGGGGGCTGAGGGCCTAGAATCAAACTCTGCTGAGGTAGTGAGTCCCTATTATTATGAACAGCCCCAAGCCAGGTAGCTGAGGAGTACTGGCATCAACAGAAAGATGATCTATATGGCCTGCTTAGAGGCAATAGGCCCATCAAAAGCTTTAGGCTGCCTTCTTCTGCTTCCTTCTGGGCTTAACACAAGCAAGGAGTGAAAGACCTGGCCGGGGAACCATCTGGACTCACAGCAGGGCCTAAGATGGCCCTGGGCCTAAGGGAAGTAGAGCTAGATAGGAGGTTGAGGATGAGGCTGGGGCTGGATTCAGAGAGAAATGGGTCATCTGTTAGCTTGAGATCAAGTGCTTACCCTAGCAGTTTCCACCTCCTCTTCAGCCTGGCAGGACTCACTGCCCCAAAGAGGGTATAAGGGGTTAGCCTAGCAGAAAGACTGACCTCAGAGGATGAGATCCCAAGGATAATGACGACAAAATCCTGATGCTGGATAATAAACAGTGCACCTAAAGCTGGGGAAGGTGAAGCATGGCCAACTCCCAGACTACCTTGTGTGTCCCATATGGCATAGATACCCTGTTGCTTTGCATGTGGTGACAAAGAATAGGGGGAGGGGCTAAGAGAAACCATAAGTAGAACTCAATGTAGGTTAGAAGAGGATGCAGGAGGAACCATGGGTTCATGACCTCTAAATGGAACTCTCAAAGGTTGGACATGTTGGAATTCAATTTTCAGGGTATTGAGGAAGGTAGGGCACAAAATCTATGACACCATACTTTCAGTGGGGGAGGGCTGGACAGATTCCTGTAAATAGGCACCTGGACATTTATATGCAGCAAAATTTTTAATTATCATTTCAGTTTTCTGAGCATATAGATTTCACAATGAGGAAGTAGCAAGGAACTGGCCGTATAACTCCACCTCAAAAGATCATATGTCCTTGACTCCTAAGGACACACACCCATTCTCAGACTACTCTCATACCTAAGCATACTCACAACCTCAGACCACACAGAACACTGAGGGCAGTCATCATACTCTACTACTCTCACAGGCACACACCTCTTCATTTTTCTAGAAGATCATGGGTACACATCAGCTCTCAAGTGGCCTCACTGCCCCTTAATTCCCATTAGCACCCATAATTTCTCCTTTTATTCCTAACCCCCATCATTACACTCAAGCTCTAACCAATCACACTGAATTCTGTTGACACACACTCAGGTCCCACTAACTCTTAACATTGTATTCTTTTTGCTTTGAGACAGGGTTTCACTACATAGTTCAGGCTGGCCTTGAACTCAAGGCAATCTGCCTGCCTCTGCCACCAGTACTCAGATTACAGGCATGCACAAATGCCCAGCTTCCATCACACTCTTGAACTCCTTCCTAGCCCAGCTGCCTGTTAGCTTCTTCATAGCACCGATTCTCTCTCATTAACCTACTGTCCCCCCAAAACAATTTAGGCCCAAACATATGCTTGGGATGCTCCACAGCTGACCTGAATTAGTGCTATCAGACTTTCATACAGCTCTGAATCCCATTAGCACAAAGTGAAACTTGCAGGTAGCTGAGCAGTTTCATTTACACTCAGGACCCTTCACAAACTGGACCTTCAGTGAACCCTTATTATTTATTAATGCACTGTCCTTACATAGTTCTGCCTCCCCCTTTGCACACCCTGAACTCCTACTTGGCCATATCTCTCAGGGACACACAAATACACTGTTTTATAATGGCCTAACCCTCATTAGTGTGCATAGTTCTCCATTCAGCCCTGACCCCCCCATTAGTACACACAAGTCTTCCATGGCTTTAGCACCTCCACATTATCACATATTCCTGTCCTCTACTACTCTTTGCTGCAACCCCTCCACAGCCATAACCCCTGTTGGTTCACTTGTATCCCTTCATACATGCCTCTGATCCCCCTATTACACATCGGATCCCTTCCACAGCTCTACCCTCTCCCATCAGCACTTCATGAACCTCAGTACACTCCGGTGTCCTACAGATGTGAATACTGTCTTCACTATGTTCTGCGCTTACTAGCATATTGCAGACCTCGGGCTTCTCTGACTTCCCGCAATGGCAAAGTGCCCCTATGGCTCAAAACACACAACAGCAGCCATTAGAGTTTCAAATACACTATCATCCTGAACATTTCAGAGTCTCATATTCCCTTTCATAGGGAAAACTCACACCTCACTTTGACCCTTAGCATACTGAGCATTCTTATAGTGCTAAGACAATTCCTTCAAGTCACACAGTCCCACACTCACATACACAATTCTAATATATGCAGACTCAGGTCTGTCTACACCATCCTGTCCCTATTACACATCTTGGGTCCTTCCACTGTGTTAGCCCCACTGGTACACTGGGCCTCACAAAGCAGATCTTTATTACTATATGCACACACCCTTACAGTCATGAGTCTCAAGAGCACAAACCCACACCTGAGTCCTTCAAAACTTGTTCCTCTATGAGCACACTCTATCTCCTCACACAGTATTAACATCATCCTGACTCTCATCACCACATACAGGGCCTGAGAAACCTGACCCCATTAATGCACCTTCTGGCACCTTTACTATCCTGTTCCCTGTTAATACACACTGGGCCTCTCCACAGACCTACCCTTCACTAGTTCGTCTTGGAACTATCACGGCACACTAGCTCCTACCGCAGACCCTCAGGTTCCTCTCCACCCTACCATTCCCTTCCATTAGTACACACTGGGCCTCAAAATTTACACAGCCATAAGTCCACATGGTGCGACTCCTACAAACCTCAGGCCATTTAGCAAACCTTGAGTCTTTCACCACTCTATCACACATTCCCACTATCTTCGGCCCTTTGAACACTCTGTTCCTTAGCACCCAGAGCAGTTCCCCATCGCCAGCTTCCAGGACTGGCCCAGGGCGGGGCCAAGGTCAGGGAGGCCTCAAATGACCCCCCTGTCCCGATGCGTTCTGGGAAATTCGCCTGGGGCAGGGGCACCTGCCAAGCGAACAGCCCAGACTCCGGTACCCTCTGGGGTGGGGGCTGGTTCCCCTGGAGAAGCGGCAGCCCCTCCCCCCAGGTCTGGGAGAAGAGCTCACCGGCGGGGGCGCGCGTGCAACCTCAGAGCCGCGGGGCCGGCGCGGCGGCGCCTGGGGCGGCGGCCCGGGATGAGGCCGCGCGACCTCCTTCTCCTCCGGTTCGCCGCAGGCGCCCATCCCAGTAATCTTCGGCCATGGCTGCTGGGCCCGGGCCGCCGCCGGCTGAGGAGGAGGAGGCGGCGGCGGCGGCGGTGGCTGAGGCGGAGGCGGCGTCCCGCTCAGCCGGCCATGAGCTTGGCCGCTACGGGCGATGCCCCCAGGCTCGTTGGTGTCCGCTCGCAACTGAGCGCTCACGGCGGCTTGCGGATCAGTGCCAACTGCTCGCGGAGACGCCGCGGATCCCAGGACAGAACAGCCAACGGCCCAACCGCCGCGCGCGCCGCGCTCCGCGCATGCGCACGCACGCGCTGGAATAGGTGAAGTGGAAAAGGAGGGGACTCACCTCGGACTGCATGTACCAAAGAACCCGTCCGCAGTGGGAGGGGGTGCGGCCATTGCGCGCCCGCAGAGGAATATGTCGCTGGCCCTGAAACGGCGCCAGGGAGAAATGAAGAGGTTGTTTAGTATTCAGATTCGATCTCACCATAAGTTTGCTAGCGCCTAGGTGAGCAGCAGTCAGTAACTAGGCGTGCCAGTCACCACTCGCTCCCCCTGCTCGATTTCACTTGGTACATCCCCATGGTGGCAAACGGACTTTTGAAAGGAGGAAAAAGACCGATGAGGCAATCAGTTTTAGTCTCTAGAAGTGCCTTGATAGGCAGGAATTATACAGGATCGAGAACTGACTTTTCTTAGAGATGTGGCCTGGATAATCATTGGCCTTTACTACCTTAGCTGGGACAGTCTAGCCCCGCCCTGCTGACCCTTCCACCGCTAGCTCATTCCCACTGTGAACGCGTGCGGTGGGCCCCACCCTTTAAGGTTGTCGCGGAGCCAATCGGATTTGCTCTCTGTGGTGAGGCAGTGCAAGAATGAAGGGCGTGGCTGAGTTGGAGGAGGATTTCACTTTTCCCCCTTGGTTCCCCCCTCCCCCCCCCGCTCCTTCCTCTTCCCGACTTTTATTGGTTTTCACCATCAGAGAGTGTGGGTGGGGGTCCTCCTTTTTGTTCGGAGCTCCTGTCACTTACAAACTGAATACTCCGCAAAGTGATTGGCCTAAAGAACGTTCAGTCTCCCTCCCACCCTTAACCCTTCGCATCTGCTCCAGCATGCCTCTTAGGAGGACATTCAGAAGGACGGGCCCCGCTACTGCGCAGGCTTGAGATTTTGGGTGGGGTGGGGATTTCTTCCTGTCTCCTGCGAGATTAGCGAACGTGCCCTGAATTAGTCTGCCTGTCACCTACCTATGTCATGCCCGCCTCAGTTCCCTCCGTGGCCCTCCCTTGCTCTTGTATTTTTCTTTGTATTTGTTGGCTTCTGTGTGCCAGTCACTCCCAGTCATGCCTAATCCTCTGCCTGCAAAACTGGTGTCCCCAAATCCAGCTCAAATGGCAACAGCCTTCAAGCAGGCCTTCTGGGACTTCCTTACACTGCACCGCAATTCAAACACAGCTTTCTGGCCTATTCTGGGCTTACTGTTAGGATAGCTTTGTTCAAACTATTAGTTTTCAATAAGGTTCACGTTAGTAAGGGCTTCCTACAATTATGGGAGTGGATATACTAACAAAGACAAATGTCTGCCCCATAGCCTCAACCTCACCTCCTAAACTTCCTTCCTCTCACTCTAGCCATACTAGTTTACTTTCCACAGGCATAATCTAACCTCTGGAACTTTGTACCCAATGTTCCCTTTCCTTGGAGTGTGCCATATTACCTTGACTTCCAAGTCCTTGCTAAAGTCACCTTCTCCAAGACGACTTCCTTGATTATCCCACTTACAAATTCCTGTCTGTAATCCCATGATTCCATATCCCCAGACCTGGCACAATTTTTCACCTTTTGAAGGCACTAATCAACCCCCATTCCCTGTGCTACAAATGGAATCCAGAGCCTAGCACATGCTAGCAAAGTATGTAACTAACTGCTGAGTTACATCCATGGCTTTCATCAGCTTCTAATAATTTACTTACGTCTATCTACCCTAGGCCTCATCTTAGCAGAACATAAGATCCAGCAAGGGTCCCAGGGATTTAGCTCAGTGGCATAAGCACCTGCTAAGCAGGGGCGAGTTGTTGAGTTCGAGCCCCAGTACAAAAAAAAAATCCAGTAACATAGATCATTTTTTAAGCCACTGCAGTGTTCCAAATGCTTACAACCATTCGCAGCACACAGCACTGTTTGTTGACTGCTTCAAAAAGCAAATAGTTCTAGGTAAAAACTAAAGGAGACATGCTTGTCCCACCCTGTCCTTTGTGTTAGCTAGGTTCAAGGGGCTCAGTGAACTGACACTAGCCTGCTTGCTGGCCGAGCCCAATCCAGCTAGTGTTATAAGAGGAAACAAATATGACAGACAATATGGTATGTGGGGAGGGATTAAGATGTAGCCAGGAGTATTGGGTGACTCAGAACTTAGTTTTAGCCATGCTTAGTGGCTTACTGCCTATAATCCCTGCTACATAGGAGGCTGAAACAGGAGGATTGCTAGTTTCAGAAGAGCTTGTGTGAGTTAGCAAAACAAAACAGTCCAGGGATTTCCACAGCTCAGTAGAACAGTGCTTGCAAGCTCAAGACCCTGGGTTCAATTCCTAATACTGGAAAAGGCTGAGGAGGGAGGCCTCATGATAGGCTCCCAACACTTGGGAGGCTGAGGCAAGACTGCAGTAAGTTTAAAGACAACCTGTATTACAAAGCAGGACCCTGTCTCAAAAAATAGTAATTATGAGAGAATGAGATCACTCAAACAAAGCAAGTCAGTAAAACTCATGAGGAGATAAGGTTATTCACGGTTTGGGGCCAGCAGTTAGTCCAGTAGATGTGGGGACAGACTTGGCCAGGGAATTGGCCAGGTTAGCGGACAGGTATTGCTTACTCTCAGGTTCAAGTGGAGTGAGGGGATTTTAGCTGGTGTTTGGTTTTTAGCTGGGTGAAGAACAGAAGTATGACCAGATAATATCTTCAGGCACCAGGAGCCAGTACCAATGGAGGAAGGTAACACTGCAGGAGTGGGTAACCAGGCTGGTGATTTCAATATTTGGAACATTCAGCCAAGAGTGAGGATAGTGTACTCCACAGCCCAGTGAGGCTGACAGTGAGCCTCTTGCTGCCTGTGTTAACCAATGATTACCTCTCTGCCCCCCTGTCAGCTCTCCTCTGGAAGGCAGGAGGCCTGAGCACCTTTCAAGGGAAGGACAGGAAGGTCAGTGGCTGACAAGAGGAGGTGGGTTAGGAAAATGGTTCTCTTCAGATTCTCAGCCAAATACTTCCATAAAAACTGTCAGGTGTAATGGCACGTGCCTGTAACCCCAACACTTTGGGAAGCTGAGGCAGGAGGATCACAAATTTAAGCCCAGCCTAGACAATTTATGGAGACCTTATCTTGCAATTTAAAAAGGGATGTAGCTCAGTGTAAAGGCCCTGGGTTCAAGCCGAAGTGGGGGAGCTGCAGAGTATGCCTGAAGTCACTGGCATTCTTCAGGCCCCTGCAGCAGGGGAGATAAACTAAGGATGCCATACGCATTCCCAGCACCACTGGGAATCATCACTGTAAAGATCTGTTTCATTGCTGAGCCAGATGGGAAGGGATCTGCCTGAAAGGCATAAGACATGCTGACCAAGCCCTGGCAGTGTGCTTGCTACAAACTTTCCTCTTCAACAGAGGGGAGGGACAAACGCCAACACAGGGAAGGCTGGATTCAAACCCAGTTAAAATCAATACTAAAGAGCTGGGATTTAGCTCAGCGGCATAAGCACCTGCCTTGCAAGGAGACAGTTGTGAGTTCGATTCCTGGTACCGATAAAAAGGAAAAACACACACAAAAAAAAATCAATACTAAAGGCACATAGACCCAAGCACCTATTCTCCATGGTTTTACCAGTGGCTCCATGTCATGGTAAGCAGAGAGGAGAGTAAGAGGTGGCAATTCCCCTATTTTTTTCTTCCCAAGAATGTGGCAGCTAGGGTGGATGTAAGCCCTTGGGGTTATCATCTGAATCAGACATCTCCAGGAAGCCCCTTTCTTCCCTGGAACAAACAGAGCAGGCTTTTTCTGGGTTAATACCTTTTTTTATTAGGATTTGGGTTCCAAATAAGGGAGAAAGCAGTGGCAAGAGGGGCTTCTTTCGGTAGGGAGTTGGTACGGTAACACCAAGCTTGGCTGGCTGGACCACTGCCAGAGGCCAAATGGGAACCCAAGACAGGAAGGAGTCTGAGGAAGGGGACTGGGGCCAGCCTCTGGGAGTACAGGGGTTAGCGGATAGTATATCGAACATAGGGGACTTCGACGTCCTCACCGCTTTCATCGTTGCAGCATAGCTCAAGCACCAATGCCCGCACATGGCGGCCCAGCTTTCGTTTAGACACACGGCTTACAATCTCTGTCATCCTGGAGATAGAGGGTAGGGCAGAGGCTGAAAGATGTAAAAAGCAAGAAAGGGAGGTAGCAGGGACAAAAAAGGTGAAGGACAGTGACAGGAGTGGGAAAGCTGCAATGTGAACCCCACCCTCTCCCTTATTTACACAGGACCTCTTTCCCCATGCCCTGCAACAACTCACGGCTGATCCAACCGTTCCTTGAGCTTAGCAGCTGGCATGAAAAAGGAGTACAGCATGGACACACCCTGGGACAGCATGGTGATCTCTAGTTTGTGCTCTGTCTACAGAGGAGGGAAGGAGAACAACAGGGTTACAAGGTAGACAAGACCTACCATTCCCCCGGTAGGATTAAAGTGAGTAAAGGGCTTTACCTTAAAATAGTCAATGAACTGTTTGAGGGTCATCTCCTCCCCGTTAGGCTGCAGCCCCTGCACCTCAAATCGATCCCACAACGTCCATTCTTGGTCATAGTACTGTGGTAGGAGGAGCCAACCCCAGTCATGCAAACATAGTAAGTTTTATCCAAAACCCTCTCATGCCCCTGTATCACCCTGAGTAAGCACACAAGCCCTCTGATGTCTCACAAGACTCTACAACACTAAAACCTTAGTTACAACTCCTACTCCACATCCTCTCACCCACTCTGCTTTACTGGCCTTTTATTGCTCCAACAGCCAGGCATATTTCTACCTCAGTACTCCTGCAAGGACTGGCCCCAAAGCCTGTACCAAGACCTACACAGCTCACCCCCTCACCCCTCCACATATGAGTTCACACATCTGTTTTTCAGCAAGGCTTTCCTGGTCAACCTATAGAGTCCTAAGGCCTTGGCTGGGAATGTAGTTCAGTTGAAGAAGATGTGCCTACTATGCTCAAGCTGCTGGCTTCTATGCCGGCCCTGGCACCAAATCAAATCCTAAAACCATCCCCTCAACCCCTTCTAATCTCAATTCCTCCTTAAAACTACTTTCTGAAAGATTCCAAAATTATTTATCATTTATGTAACCTGTTTGACAAATACAACTTTAGCACCTAGAAAACTACCTGCACCCAGTAGGTGCTCAATGTTATGGTCTGTGTCTGTGTGTCCCCTCAAAGCCTCACAAAGGCATGGGGGTAGGCTTCTAGAATTTGTGATTGATTCCTGGTCCAACACTGGCATTATATGTGTGTATGCTACACCCACCCTAGGGTGAGGGGCCTACATACAACATAAAGAACAGAGTTCTTGCTGGTTTTAGGTGCATGCAGATTACAAGAGTTCTGAGGTTAAAAAGGCTTCCACCCAGATTACAGGAGGAGGCCTGGGAGCCCAGGCAGTGTGTCCCTTAAAGGGCAGTGTGGGAAGCTGTGA